TGAGAGGAGAGGAAGTCAGGGCTCTTCCCAGTAGCCTATCCCTGAAGGGAAAGAGAGAAGGGAGGGAAGGTGTTACCTGACAGGTGTAGGGATGAGGGGGCAGGTGTAAGTAGGGGTGGGGTGGAGAGAGAAACAGACAGACAGACAGATGGTTTAAGAAGAGATACCTGAGTGTGTTTGCTGAGGAGAAGAAGCCAGGGGAGAAGGAAAAGTTGAAGACAGGTTTGAGAGCTTATGGATGGGGCAGTCTCAGAGGAGATGGTGTGTTAGACGTGTGAGCCTTAGAAAGGAGAACAACTCTTCTTCTCCTTCTCCTTCTCCTCCTCCTCCTCCTCCTCCTCCTCCTCCTTCTCCTTCTTTCTTCTTCTTCTTACGACATTGCAGGGAAAGAGACAGATAGGGTAAGGGCAGTAATTTTCTGAGTAAAATGGTGTGAAATTGAGGAAGTGCGTGTCTGATAACCTCAGTTTTCTCTGTGGAGGAGGATTCAGGTCCACCGTGGGGAGCGCAGAGCGGGGAGTCGCAGGACTTGGGAGAACGGTGGGGGTACAGAATGGAGATGGCATCTGGGGCTGGGCCTAGCTAGGGCTGGGGACCATGGGTCTGTGTGGCCTCATCTGTATTGCAGTGTGATTTTCCACAGCAGTCTGGCTGAGTGCAGGGAGGGTGGGTACTTTGATTAATCTGGGATTTTGAGTTTTAGAGAAGAGTGAGCAGAAAGACAGCAGATGGGGTGTTTCAGAGGGCAGTTGATTTACTCTACTGCGGGGCCTAGGCTTTGTAAGGAAAGGACTACAACCAGGAGGTGGCTGATGGATCCAGAAAAAAAGGGAAGACTTGAAGAGCTGGGGGTCCCAGTGCAGTAGGAAAGCTTGTGTAGCCGAGTAACAGAGTGAGAAAGCCCAAAGGGTGGAATGACTTGATCAGAAAATGAGAATGTTAGAACTGAAGATGTTAGCCGTGAAGGGACTGAGGTGCTAGCCAGGTCTAAGGAGTGGCCATGACAGTCCATTGCTGGGGTGGCGGTGGAGGGGTTGGGAGGTGAGGACATCAAAGTTGAATGAAGTTAAGGCATTGGGTGGGTCATCCTCGAGAACAGTGCCACCGTGATGGCAAGACTGAATGAAGAGGATGACCAACTCGGAAAGATGCTCTGGAAGCCAATGGTGGTGAGAAGGACTAAACGGTGGGAGATCCGTGGCGCTTCAGGAGAGAGAGCTGATGCCAGGATGTGGGAGAAGGCTGGTATCTACGTGGCAGTGAGGAGCTGGGACACTCGTGTCAGTGTTCCCAGCTGGGTTCCCAGTGGTACCCCAGCTCTATTGGACATTGAGAATGAACAGGACGCTGAGAGGATGGTGGTACAGGCAAGGTACTTCAGCTGATGGGTTCCAGAAAGCACGATGAAAGGTAGGGAGTAAGGACAGTAGCAGAAGGGTAGGCCAGGAGTGAAATGAAAAACCTTACTTTCTCCCCCAGAAAACCCCAAAAGGCCCACCGCTGTCAGACAGGCAGGATTATTATTTGAGCCCGATTTTGGAAATAAGAAAAGAAGTCAGACTTCAGCGGCTGTGCTCTTGAGTTAGTAACACATCCATGATTCACACGTGGGCCTCCCAGCATGAGGGCACCTCGGGCTACCCCAGAGCAGTATAACCCAGAGAGGCACAGCTGCTCCCCTGGCCGGTGGAACGGGCAGCAGGAGAGGGAAGAAGCCAGGCCAGCTTCTCTCTCTGCCTCCCCAGGCCACCCGGACATCCCGCAAGGCCATCGCCTTTGGCAAGCGCTCCCACTCCATGAAGCGGAACCTCAACACACCTGTCACCAAGGCGGGCTGGCTCTTCAAACAGGTGAGGCCCCTCTGCCTCCCGCCCCCATGCCCAGTGCTCTCCCCTTGTAGCACCGCAATGCCTCCGTGCTTACCATCGTCCGTGTCTGTTTGGGTATGTCCTCCCCTTGCTCATTTGGTGTAACTCTGTGAATAAGTCTTCTAATGTTATGAAAGCTCAGAGAAGTCAAGTATCTTCCCAAAATCTCACAGAAAAATTGGTGTCATATTTGGGAATCCAGCTAGATCTCCTGTGGGCAGATACAATGATTTTGAAATGTGCTAGGCCACCCACCCTGTTGGAGCAACCTACTGGCTTCTCCTCAGCTGGTCCTCTTGCTATGGCAGGGATGGTGGTGGTGGTGTCTCCTTTGAGTCTGGGTCCAGCAATTCTCCCCATTGTCCTTGCCACTGTCCCTGCCTGCCCTCTGCTCACTCATTCTGGCTCATTTCTTGCCCTTTTTATCTTTGGGAGGGGGGAGGTGAAGGGGGGGCAGGGGAGGAAGCCCTGAGGCCCAAGATGACAGAACTGAAGGTCACAGGCAATGACCCCATGTCAGGTGCCTGCATCTGGGGTCTCAAGAGGGTTGCTGCTACTTGTTAGTGGCCCGAGCTGCAACCAGAGGCGGGATATCCTTCAAGTTAGTGCAGAGCTCCTCCCATGACCTTCACTCCTCCCATGCCCAGCTCACAGCCCCTCCGTCTGTCTCTCCCCACGTGCTCCGCAGGCCAGCTCCGGGGTCAAGCAGTGGAACAAGCGCTGGTTCGTCCTGGTGGATCGCTGCCTCTTCTACTACAAAGGTGAGCTTGCCCCAGGCTTGAGGGGCGAGCACCCACCACTCCTCCCATCTGCCAGACCACTACCAGCAGGTCCCCTACTGGCTGGAGCGTGTATGCTCATCTTCCTCCTGTCCTGTGGAACGCACGACCCAGTCCACGAAGGCAGCGGGGTTTTGTCCATTGTGTTCAGTGCAGGCACTTAGTAGGTGCTCCATCAATGGGGACTAGACGAATACCCCCAGCTTCTGCCCTCTTTGTCCACCCAACACTCACTCCAGACCCTCTCCAAAGCAGAGGAGGGCAAAGATCTGACGACATTGGTGCAGCAACCTCAAGGAAGGTGTTTTTAAAGTGACACAGCAACACTGTCTCAGGGAGAGCACAGAGGGAGCAAGCAGGGTGGTGACGGTGGTGGCCTGTCGCCCTGACGCAGGGCACTGGGTAGAGAAGGGGAAACGTCTTTGCAGCAGAAGGGACTGTTCCCTTTTCCTCCACGCCCCTCCGCGCCCCTCCGCGCCCCTCCACGCCCCGGGAGCGGCAGAGCCTAGATTTCCCTGGGCCTTCCTGGAACAACTCTGTGAATCATTAACTTTGGCAAACAAAGGCTGTACCCAGTGACACACACCCCTCCCCAGTGCTGCTATTCTTGTGCCCTGAGCTGCTGCCACCTGAACTCTGAGGAGAGATCAGGAAGGGGCTGCATATACAGGTCCAGTCACAGAGGAAACCCCAAGACTGGGGCAGAGGAATCTGCCCAGGCTGGGCCTCCAGGATAGAGTGTGAACAAAGTTGGGGGAAGCCAGGATCTCCTCAGAGGAGAGACTCTGGGCCCGGCATGAGAGAAGAACCTTAAAAATCTGTGCATGTCAGAGGGCACTGCTCTGGGGGTCACTATCCACTGAGGTGCTCTCAGGAGACCCCCTAAATGCAGACCTGGGCAGTACCGGGCAGGGCCGTCTCCTCCAGGCGCTGGCAGCCTCTGCTTTCCTGGTCTCCAGGCCTGGTTCCTCGTGCTCCTTCGGCTTAGCCCTGCTCTGGGTACCACGCTGAGGTCTGCACAGGAAGCTGGACGCTAGGCCAAGTATCTTGTGCAAGTGATGAGTGAGAGGAAAGAGAGAACTAGTGGAGTTTATAAGCCCGAAGAGATTTCTTCTGAACTCTCTCTGGGGGGTACATCTCCAGCCCAGGACATAAGGAGCTATTCTGGGCGAGTGGGGAGTGTCTTGCCATGGCCTCATGGCTGCTCCCATCCCGTCCCACAGAACACCCTGCCCTCCGGGCCTCCTGCTGACAGCTGGGTGCCCGACTGGCTAATCCATCAGGCTCCTCTGGAGATCCAGGATGAATTATGTAACAGCCTGATGGTTAGCCTGATCCAGGGACCAGAGGACCAGAAGGCCACGCGGGGGCAGGTGTTCCCTGAGACAGAGATGTAAAGGGGGTGTGCGTCTGCATCAGAAGAAGACAAAGCAAGCTGCTGGGTGCCGGGAAGAACCTTAGAAACAGTTACCCAGAGGAGCCAGAACCACAGAGGGCACCGTCCACGCTCCCGCGCCCCATCCCATGATCCTGCTGTGCGTGTGGCCGCTGGAACAGTCTTTAGTTGGGCAGGCACTGTGCACGGTGGAGTGGTTAAGAATGACGGCTTGGGGGTCAGACTCCGGGGGTTCAAAGACCAGTCTTCCACCCTCTACTTAAGTCACCTTGGACAAATTACTTAACCTCTCTGCGTCTCAGAAAACGGGGACCATAGCAGTCCCTGTCCACAGGATTGTTGAGAGGATTCAATGCATGAAGGCTTTTCACTTAGAACAGTTTCTGACGTAGAACAATGAGCTCTAATTGGTTTGCCTGCTTGTGTACTAGAATGCCAGCTCCTGGAGGGTGGGACTGCTTCTCTGTCATTCACCTCTAGCCATGCCCAGAGCATGTCCACAGCCAGCACACGCCCCAGTGCCCCGATCCAAGAGCATGCCTCTTGGTGGTGGGGTGTGCAGAACACAGCCTGCGTGCTGGTGTGTGTGGCCCGGTGTGCCTACTGTAGATGAGCAACAAATGTGTGTTGCAGTTTATCATAACAGGGCTGACATGCTCCTGTCTCCTCCCCTGCACACGCATGCACACACACACACGCGCACACACACACACACGCACGCACACGTGCACCTCACCTGCCTCTGTTTCCTGACAGATGAGAAGGAGGAGAGCATCCTGGGCAGCATCCCCCTCCTGAGTTTCCGGGTGGCCGCCGTGCAGCCCTCGGACAACATCAGCCGAAAACACACCTTTAAGGTCAGTTGGCCGGAAATTCCTCTCCCAGGTCAGATGGGGGGGGGGGGCGGCTGTCCCCCCGGGGGGGGGGGGGGGGGGGGGGGCGGCTGTTCTCCTAGAGCACAGGGGGATGGAGAAGGGTCAAGAGCCACCTTCCGAGGAGTCGGAGCGGAGGGAGCAAATGGGCAGTGCCCTGGACTCCATGCGGGCCGTCCTGAGGCTAAGCAGAGGCCGTGCGGGACCCCGTCCTCTTTCCCGGGGGTTGGGTGGGTGACCTCCCCAGGGCAGGTCAGTAGAGACGTGCTTCAGTGGTACCCCAGTTTTTTCCTGGGGGGAGGGAGGAGCGTATCAGCTCTATTAGGATAAATATCGATAAATGTAGCCAGTTATTTCCTGCGCCTGGGGACCCTCTGCCCAGTGGCCAAGCACCTCGCAGTGAGGCAGGAGATGGGCCGGAGGGGGGCTGAGATGCTTTCTGGAAAGTCTTCCTCCCCACCTTGGGCCCAGGAAACTAGATCTACAACAAACTTACTTGAATTTCAGTCTTTAGAGGAAATTAGGGGTTGAGTTTCATTATAATCAAGAGAAGCAAACCTCATGTAGACAATTGGAGAGAGCAAGTGTGCTCAGCTGCCCGCTCAGCACGCTCCCCCGAGCCCCCTGGGGATCCGCCCCTCAGAGGCTGCAGCTGGCTCATCCCAGGCAGGGTTTCTCCACATTTAAAAACGCACGACCTTTTACACATGGTTTTTGTGTTTTATGATGAAAAGACTCTAGGTTTCTTTTCCAAATATGAAATTCTGGTGCTGCCCATGCATTTTCTCAGCACCAAGCCCGCTCTCCCAGTGGAGAGTCGCTGCCCAAGGCCCTGCAGACCTAAAGCCGTGCTGGCAGGGATGGGGCCTGCAGGTCACCCCAGGTCAGGGTCCGAGCCTCAGAGGCCGCCCCTTCCTGTCCCTCCCACTCCGACACCGACCACCGAGAGGCTGTGGGCAGCACACACAGGTGCTGTTCTGGGAACGAGGAGGGGCTTCTCTGGCACATACATAATTAGTTTCCAGCCTCCCGGGGTCCTGTCTGCCAGAGGTGTGAACAGAATGAACAATTAATAAAACTCGGGCTCCAGGGAGCCGGTTCTAGCTGTGGAAATAGGAACAGGCTGTTTAACCAACAGCAGACGCACACACCCACACAGGCAGACAGCCTGTCACCCTCCCCCCAGACCTGTGCGCAGACACATGCTCGGAGCTCAGCCGGCCTCGGGTGAACACGATGGCTAACCCCCCACCACAAACCCCAGATCTCACTTCTGTGCCATCACTGCGCTCCTCCCTCCCCGTCCCCCAAGGAGTTCGTTCCTCTTTAAACCAATCGGGGAGCAGTGATCAGTGGCCACAAAGGGGTGGCTATTCAGAGGCCCCTCCCAGGGAAGGGAGGGCTGCTGACACAGATGGAGGCTTGTCCTGCTGTGGCCACCAAGCGAAACTCTTGGGGTGGCTGCTAATGAGCCTGACTGTCCCTGCCCAGCCCACTGCTGAATGCGGGACCCCTTCCTGCCCCGGCCCCAGGAGGCTTGGTAGACTTCACCCGACTGGGCCACCTCCCTCCATTCTCTGGTCCCCTTTCCTGGTTCCAGGAGAGTGTTCCTCCCACTGCCCTTCAGTCGCCCTGCCTTCCCCAGGCCCTCTGCCCGCCTCGCCTCCCTGTCGCCAGCAGCTGTTCCCTGGCCCTTGCTCCCTCCTTGTTTCCCTGGGGGCACGTCCTGTCCTCCAGCTTGACCTTGACTCTTCAAGTGCAAAGAGCATGCCTTTGCCTTCCCTGCGCCTGGTGCAGCAGTGCTCCGCTCTCCGAGGGTCACAAGATGCTGAGCGTTTAGCTCACTTGCTGCCCACTCCTACCAGCCCCGGGACACACTCAGGGTCCCGCCCGTGTCTCTCCTCTGTGGCAACCCTGTGTTCTCCACCTCAGAGGGCTTGCCTCGGGCTTGATCGCCAAGTCCCCGTGTAGTTTCAACCCCCAGACACCTCCTCACAGCTTCGCTGGCTTTTCCTCAGCACCTCCCTGCGTCTGCCAATGTGCTGGCCCCTGCTGAGGGTGGGGACTGGCAGGGTCCAGGGGAAGGAGGACCAGCCCTGCCCTCACTGGGTACAGAGGATGTGCCCTCACTGGGGAAGGGCTCCTGCCAGAAGGGCATCCTGTGCAAGGGGCAGGGGCCGCGGTGGAGTGCGGGTCCGGCCAGGAGAGCATTTGGAGGGTGTGGATTTGACATTGCTGCTTAGGAGAGCCCTGGTGCTTGGTCAGAGGAGCCCTGTCTTCTCTCCTTTCAACACCCAGAGCGCCCAAGGGGTCAGAGGGCAACGTGAGGTTCCCATCAGAGACTTAATCACATCTGGATCTCATGCAGGCTGGGATAAACGTGCTTTTCCTGGGAGACCCGGGTGTCACCTGGGGGGTATGCCGAGGTCCCACAAGGAATCTAGCCTGGAGCTTCTTGTCCTTGGGCCCAAGAATCTCAAGTTTCACCAAGTAGACCCCCCCGCCCCCATTCCACAGCCCAGAGCTGGTCAGGAACAGAGGGAGGGTTAGTGCTGGGAATCCCTGACCTCACTCCGCCAGCCTGGATTCCATGGTGTAAGCTCTGCACTCCCCCTCCTGGCGGGCTGAGCTGGGTGCTGTTGTCCCAGAGCAGGAGGGGATAGTTTGAATAGCCTCCGCTTCCGTCCCCTCCCAACCTTCCTGCCACGCGGTGTCTGTCTCTCCCTCTGGTGTTTGGTTGACCTGTTCTCTACTCTCCTCCTCCCGACTGCGTGAGGACCCTGCTCTGGACAGGAGCTTCCTTCTGGGTTCCCGCCTGCCGCACCTGCTCGTGGCCGCCGACTAGGTAGCGTGCTCTGCCTGTGTGCATGCCCCCTGCATGCCCGGAGAGGGCCAGGCCGTCTCTGCACGGACGAGACAGAGCTGGCTTCTCAGAGACCCAGGGGTCTCTCCCAGACTTCGGCTAATTGCCCTTCAAATCAAAGATAGAATTTGATGGGAGAGCGGGCACGGTAATTGTCCCTCCTGCTGCTAATCACCTCAGGTGGGGCAGGTAAGCTTACCTGGGCTGCCCCGTGGTGTCCAGAGAGCCAGCCAGGCAGACACCTGGGCACCAGCTGGGGCGCTTGGGATACCTGTGGGCCACCCTCCTCACCTTGCCCCCGAGCTCCATGTGGGGAAAAGAGCCACAGGTCCTGGGAGCGGCCTTTCTGACCACCTCTTCTGTGGGGATGGGTGTCTTCTCCCTACAGGTGACTGTGTGCTGGGTGGACGAGGCCGGGGCCAGTTCCACGCACTGCCTCTCCCCACAGGCCGAGCACGCCGGGGTCCGCACCTACTTCTTCAGCGCCGAGAGCCCCGAGGAGCAGGAGGCCTGGATCCAGGCCATGGGGGAGGCTGCCCGGGTACAGATCCCCCCAGCCCAGAAGTCCGTGCCCCAAGCTGTGCGTCTCAAGTGAGTGCCCTGCTCCTGGGCCTTGGGGGTTGGGGGAGCTAGAGAAAGGGAAGGGCCCGCTCGATGCCATCGCTGAACCCACTGTGCTGGCGGAAGCACAGAGCAGGGTGCCGGGCGAGGCCATCTCAGAGCCGGCAGTCTGTTCCCCTGGCCGGCTCTGCCTCTGCTCTCTGAGCTGGTGGAGGCCAAGAGGGAGCCAGGTTCCAGGGGGGCCTGGCCAGGAGCCAAAGGCCAGGGTCGCGTGCTGTTTTTCTGGGCTGCGCAGGTGAGGGGCACAGCCTTAAGGAAGGTAGACTCCGGTTCGAATCCCAACCTGGTCACTTAGACACAGTGTGGCCTCAGGGTAAGTGACTTCACCTCTGTGGACCTGAGCTTGCTTTCCCCAGAGGCAGCAATTATAAGCCTACCTCTTAGGCCGTTGTGAGGACTAAGCCGTATGCAAAATGCTGGTATGTGGTGAGCACTCGGGACATGGCTGTGCCCATCACATCCCCAGCCGCAGTCTAGGCGCCTGTCTCCTCGAGCTGGTGTTGAGTCAGATGCTAACGGGGATCCAGAAGGAGGTGTCACAGTGTAGACCCCAAGTCTATGCGCATGTCTTAGAAATGGTTACCAAGCAGTGTCTCAACACCAACGCGTGGATGTGTTGAATTTGAGAAACTGTAGGGAGAACATTGTCATGAGATTCCACCTGGGCTCCACCCACGGGGCGTACTTCCGGTGGTTCCCTCATCATTTCATAAAAATCTACTATGAATAGCCATGTGTAAGGCGCTCAATCGGGTACCAGGAAAACGAGGGAGCAAAATTCTGACGAGTTCCTGCCTCGTGGAGCTTACATTCTAACAAGAAGTCAGTCCCGGGCGAGGCTTGCTCTTGGAAAGGGAACTAGCATGTCTCCAGGCTGTGTAGTTTGAGGCAGCAGCTTCTGCCCGCTGCCTCCCCTGTGTGGCCCCACAGGGGTCCTGAAGGGGGAGGCAGGTGCTGAAGGGAGTGGCGTGGCCAGCGGGAGACCTGGAGGGCAGAAAGAGATGGCCAGGCAGATCGGATGACTTTTTCTAATCATTGGGCAACAGAATTGTAATGTATTAAATTCTGCTCCCGTTGCTACCTTCCTGCCCATCCTTCTCCACTCCCTTCCTCCCTCCCTGGGTACCACCCCCCACCCAACTCCGTGCTGGGCTGGAATCTCTTACGCCATCTCCCTTGGCACCCTGCAGCCACGAGAAGCCAGACTCGGAGAACACCCCACCCAGCCAACACCACCACCAGCCGCCTCACAACAGCTTCCCCAACCCGGAGCCGGAGGCCAAGACTCGAGGGGAGGGCGACGGCCGGGGCTGCGAGAAGGCGGAGAGGAGGCCCGAGAGGCCCGACATCCAGAGCGAGCCTCTGGTGAAAGCCAATGGCATCCCAGCTG